ATGAAGTTTTACCTGTTATACCCTTCAACTTCCAGAAATTGTTACAGGAAAAAACCTTTTGCTCGCCTGCTTCTGATAAAAGAACTAGGTAAAACACCAAAATGATGGGTTTTCTTTGTGATCGGCTGAACCTTTAGGGCACTTGGAGCGAGCAGACCTTACTGGTTGTATACCAGGCAAAACATGTCTTTGTAGAGTCAACACAAAAACCTGTTGTAAATAGAAGTCTCTTTGCCAGGAACACAAGTAATCGATTAAGTAAATGGGGCACATACCAGTTCCCCCTGTTCTCAGAGAGGATGTGCACCACTGCTGCCAAGGAAGTGCAATTAAAGTCCATTCAGCCCTTAGCACTCAGCACACTCAGGCACTGAGGAAAGCAAACCCACTCTCAGCTTCATTTGCTGCAAAGTCACTTGGGGACAGCAGCTCAGAATGACTTTGCTTTCCTGAGTGCCTGAGTGTTTCCATCCCCCTACTCCCCTCTAACTCCCAGCTAGCAGAAGGCGCCCGAACCTAGCCACCTGCAGCCAGGCAAGTCATCTGCTTTAGGGCCTCCCTGCACTGCCAGCTGTGCATCTGCTGGTCACCTCAGTGCCAGGCTGCACTCACACCTTCAACGTGAGCAGCAGCATTTGTGAGGAGTGCTCACACCCCGACAGAACAGGAGCTGGGTTATGCGGATCAAGGGATCATCCCGCCCCGGCCGTGCGCAACTTTGAGCTACACAGCCAGCGCTTTAAGCCACTTAAAGTGTTAACAGGCAGACAGTCCCGGAGTTAAGCGTTGCCCCAAACTACTGCCTAACACGGCCCTTACATTTTCAGCGCTCCCAGTGGCTCCGGCCACTAGGCTACTGCAGCGCTGCCAGCACAAGAGGACAAGGAGATGGCAGCGAACATGGCAACCGCCGCTCTGTGATTGCAGCGCCAAAACGGGAAGGGCAGGGCGGGCCCGCAGCTCCGCACCGCCCCGCTGCCCCCCACGTGCGGGGCCGGGCGGGCCGGGATGCGCGGGG